TCCCATCCGCTAGAGTGTGTAGGTATTGAATGGGGTTGAGTGAATGAACGAGTTTAGGTTTCATCAACCCATTGGCTTCCAGTTGGTTGACCTTACCAGTTAAACTTTGCGCAATACAACTTGAGGGGCAAAACCGGGAGACGTCTCGTGTGTTTGCAAAGTTGGAGGAAAGACTTGGCGATGAGCAAGGTCTTCCAGATAGATGCCTGATACTTTGGAACACGGTATACTTCACAGTAGCCTACATCAGTGAAGCGGTCGTTCTTAAGGAACCCTGTCGTACCATTTGATTGGAAAGTCTGACTTGCTAATCTGAGGCATAGACTCCACTTAGGTTCGTAGTTAAAGCATCATTTGAGAGCTTCTACAGACACAACGTACGACTTTGTTTTAGTTCACTTGTGCATTGATTATCAGTTCGCCATTCAACATAAGCCCCTAACCCTCAAGCGGACGGGATATCACCTTCAAAGTACGTATATATTTGTTTAAAAGTTAAATTTCCCTAGTTTGAAAATATATCGCGGACGCATCAGCGGTCTAAGGATCAATCAGCGATCTAATTGCTTGTAAAGCGGGGACGTGGAGAGTAGGTACAATTTCTGCTAAAAATGCTATCGGCAGTCCGGATGAGCTCCCTTCGAATTGAAAAGGGTTAGTGAGCAGTGGGTTAATAAAATCAGTGACTGTGCACAGTGCTTGGTTGCGCCCATCAATGATTACTCCTCTGCACAGAGGAGAAGAATCAGCCAAGGTTAAACATTCCATATTCATTGTTGGTTTCGTTTGTTGTACCACTCAATCGGCCGTTTCATAGTAGACTTTTATAGTCAGGGATGCTTGTCTCACTGTTGCACAAGCCGTCCTCCAAAAATATCAGTATTGTCGGTGTGAGTATCTGGGGCCTCGCTAAATGCTCCTGGATGACCAAGCTTCTCAAATAGCCTTTTTCTGCTTACAGGCTTGATTTAGTGGCGGTGTTCCCCATTAAATGTGATAGGACCAAAAGCCATCATCCGTGGATGTAATGGGATTGGTGAACTACTGGAATTTCACCTAGGGGAATTGGCTAAAGACCCCGATTCTAAACCAGACACCAACACCTTAATTGAGCATCGAGTTGCATTTGCACTTTGAAAGTTTGATGCTGTCCAAAGGGTGTGTTATTCGATTTAATGGACACCGGTGCACGTGCAACAGGTGTTGATTTCGTTAACTTAGTGCACCGGGCTTTTTGTTTAGCGGTATATACAATCAGAAGAAAAAAAAATTTAGTTTCTGAATCGATCTTCGCTCCAGTATCAAATCCAACTGCCACGCTGTAGGTACTCACGCCCGTCTATCTTTGAGATTGCGTATATTCACTCTACAACGAGACATTGATCTGTAATCTTTAATTTGGCTAATATCAAATCACTGTTTGATATTATCGTCCATTCCGCTTCACTTCCCCTTCGTTATCACAGATCACAGACGCAGCTCGTACCGCAATCCGACAACTGGTTATTGAATCCAGAGAACAGCTGTATCAGGCAACCTATACCCAAATCATGAAACGATGGTATTTCGAGGAAAAGGTCAGTTTCAATTTCTCTATTGCGTGGTTAGCGTTAGTTATACCTTGTCTACAGGGGACTGATGTAAATTATTCTTGTGAAAGCACGGCAATTCTATGGTTAAAGACTTAAAGATTGTGAGAAAAGAAAAATGTACAGCTTATTGGTTTTCGGGGAAAAAGGATGAAAAGGATAAAAAGGAATGAAACCAGAAATGCAATAAGTGAGTGGCGAATATTGAGTACGAGTCTTCCACCGCCTCTGTGCTGCTTGGATGGGGGAATTTTGAACACGATCAGGAAGATCCAAGGAAGTGCATGAGGCTCCACCGCTAAAAAGAGAAACCAGTGAATTCAGAAAATTCACATTCAGAGAATAAGAGAGAGCTCTTGAATTGTGGGAGGTGCATCCGATAACGAGAGAAAGACAGCCCATATTGCGTTTCCGAGAGACTGACAGACAAGCATTATTGCTGGTCTGGAATGATGCACAGGTAGATAGCCCACATAACCCCATGCTGGTTATTCTTTTGAGATCGGAGTCTGTGGTTGTGTACACATCCCATCCATCACAGGAGACTGTGTTTGATGCAATACGAATGGAATATTTTGATAACGTTTTCTCTTACAACAAATGCTCATCTTTGTCTCACCACGCACTTCAAACAAACATGCAGTCTCGAAACTCACACTGTCTTACCTTCTAATGTCGTATTGTTCATATGCGATTTGAATCTCACTATCTGTCTACTTTGGACGTTCAATCACTTAATGATTACTTGAAACAGGCTTGTTTACGATTGGTTTGGACAATCTGATAGTGCCAAATCGAACCACTTGACTTGTTAATATGAATGCTGTTATGATTAAACCAATGCGGTATCTCGTCACGTTGGTCGCATCAATCAGAGATTATATTACAGCGTAAAATTGCGCAATGATATTTCCTCGTTCTGTTTTTCATAGATTCGTCGTCCGTACTTCCACGTTAAACCTTTGGAGGAGGTTCAGCTGACAAATTGGGCAGACTATCTGAGTTTCGAAGAGGCGGAAGCGGCAGCGATCGAATCATCGGTTCGGGAGGAATTGAAGGCAGAGCAACCAGACCTTAGCGATTCCGAGTTAACAGCTAAAGTGCTCTCTTCCGACTCGGTGATTTTGGCCCGTCGACGAGTGAAGGTGTTGTATGAGCGATGCCTGGTTGCTTGTGCTTTGTACGAACATATCTGGATTCGCTACGCGCGCTATACCGAGGTAAGTGTTTACCCCAAGCCGCTCATCCATGTGGTATTTTCATCGGTCTATGTCTGCAGTGGAGTCGATGTTTGGATGACGAGTCAGTGAATTGCGTCAAATTAAAAACCAATGAACGCAATGTTTTCCTTGTTCGAAAATCAATCTTTGTATTTTGGATTGAAGGCTATCATTTGCATCCCGATTTTCGGGTTCACTCAGCATGTTTTGTTTGCTTCCGATTACCATCTTTACTGACCCTTGCAAGATGGGCCAGTGATAATTCATCTCATCCACAAAGATCCACGAATTCCAATAGGTCACACATTCATAATTGGCTATAGACATTGTCATACACGATGGAAATCTCTAGAGCACGCGAATGAATATTCGCTCTTTAATGGTGATCAGGCGGTTTTCCTATTGTCCTCAGTTGGGGGCTGGATATTTCGATCCGAATTGCGAACCTTGCCACTACTAACCACCTTTGCCTGCCGATAGACGTTATCCGGCTTAATACTACGCCTGGCCTTCCTGGACCTTGTTCACTGCTTCAAGTTCCAGGGCTTGGATTGCTTGTTACCATAACCATATTTGTTGGGCTCCCTGAATGAGGACCCCGAGATCATATTCAGGGACACGGAATGATATGGTTGGGTTTCGCAAACAGTGGCGCTCGTGCATTTACTCATTATTCTTGCAACTCGAGTCTATGTGAATTCTCTGTCTTCTTTTTAATTCTGCTCTCAACGTTCCGATCTTCATTTTGCCCTTTTATCCACCTGGACAGCTGTCTAAAGACAGTAACCAAAACCGGCTCATAAGAAGCATGGCTATTGGTTGTAAAAACTGAACTGAACTGAAACTGTTACCCTAACCGAATAATGAATCTTCGTGACCAAGGGGTATACATGTTCCATTGTTCATCACGATAAGCTGTGCTGTGAAATATATCAGTAGATGACCACACACACACAAACGAAGAAGCGCTTAGTGCGCACGTCGTTCCACGTGATGACTCAGTCTTTTTCTAGTCGACACACGTGATCAGTTCAACAGTGATAGGTGACAAATAAGAACAATTCAGATGGTCGGGAAAATTGTGACTGGAAGTTGCTGATACATCATTCTGTTGCTCATTTACGTATCCGGTAAATATTTCGAGCTTTTCATTTCAGGCACTTGGCGTAACACCATGAAATAGTGGGCGGATAAGTGACGCGCGTACAGAGTATCTGTTCATTTGCCGATGTAGAAATACTCACCAAAGTAATTCTTGCGTTTGACTACCGCACGATCCGTTTGTGATCGATGATCGAAATAATGCCAAGGGGTACCTTACATAAATGTTTATCAGATATCTAAGTTTTTATGTATCTTGTGATAATGGGATTATTTAAACAAATGCTTCAGTAGCTTTGCAGTTGATGCTCCATCCGTACGACAGATTTTCAATGGAATAATTTTGACTAAAAAAACTTACCATTGATTATTACATTCCTCAAGGGTTGCATTGTGAAACACGTGTTTTCTTCGTTGATAGTGACGGATCACATTCCACAGACCTCTTGCGGTACGATTGAGTCAGACCAAGCTTGACTTGTTATTGCTACTCTAAACTTTACGTTTTGTCTATTTAGTTTGGTAAGCATCCGGTTTTCAGTTTAAGTTTTCACAACCATTACCCATGCATTTTCATGGTCCGGTTTTGGTTGCTGTCTTCTGGCCGCCCATTTGGATAAAAGAGCAGATTGAAGACTGGAATGTTGAGAGCAGAGTCAAAAGAAAGATGGAGAATTCGTATAAACTCGGGTTGCAAGAATAATAAGTAGATGCACCCACGCCACTGTTTGCGACATCCAGCCATATCACTCAGTGTCTCCAACCACTGGTTACCATGATTTCTGAGTCCCTATCTAGAGAGCGTAACAGTACCTATGCTAGTTAGTCTCCTGGTTAGGGTTCTCATACTGTCATCTCAGGTATTAGTTTGAACGCCCTTTACCTTTTTTCAATCGCTTCCTACCTGGGAGAATATCTCTCGCCGTGGCAACCTATTTNAACCTATTTGGCTACATGCGCAACACATGTCCCAAACACCGTAGTCTATGGAGGTCGAGCAATTGTTCCAATGGACGACCATGATTACCTAAAACTCTGCTCTTAACCTCAGCGTTGTTTGTCCCATTTCTCAACGTACTCGTGCAATGCGACGTAGACAGCAGTGTTCGAAAATCCATGTTTATCCTGTTTGTTAATGACCAAGTTTGCATCGTAGAACGGGAGTGGCCTAACTGCTGCAACGAATACTCTATCGGTCACAGACAGCCGGACGTCGCTTCGGTACCACAGATGTCTCAAGTTAGTAAATGCTAATCGTGCCTTCTATATGGGTGCCGACACTTCATCCTCGTCGGGTGAGATATAGCTGCTCAGATGGCAAAATTTGTCTGCGTGGTCTACTACTTACCTAATTAGAATGCGGATATGCGCTAGGCCAATCCAATATTATATAAACATTTTGCACTTTGAAGGTGCAAAACGCTTACCGAACATGGCAATACTAGAACTTAAACCATCCAGAAAAGTTTGCAGCTAACCTGGATAATCATTTAGCAACACAATGCCGTTTGCATACTCCATAGCATACAATCTGCCACCTGGGAGCAAGTCGATGCCGCTATCCTGGCATGAGGATAGGGCTGTTTCAAGAATTAGGTCTATGACAAAGTTACATAGAAACAGAGAGAGAGCGAACAACCCTGACGAACGCCACTTGTAATGAACTCGGTCGAAAAATTGCCGCAAGTTTCCGGTTGTGAAGCCATTGTGTAAAACTAAATCGGAACATAAGCCACTCGCTGGCAAAGACAATGTCAAACTGCTTTTGTGTAACATTCACTCCGTAGATCTTTTCTGTAACAGGTCTGTGCACGTATGTATGCCTGTGATATGAAGCATGTTTTCCTAGAATGCCACAATTCATCATCGAAAAGTGCATCGAGTGCTCTACTCCAAAGTTATTCTTGTTAGATAACCAAACGACAATGGTTTCTTGTTCGTGTCCTTTGTGATTAGTCTCCAATGAAGGATATAAAGCCAGATGGGCGCTTTACATGATTTATTTAGAGGAGATCTTTAAAATACCCCAAATAACATTGAGAGTGTCACGCTAGGTGATTCGTACACAAGCAAAGAGTGAGGCTCCCAAATCGCATCAAGGTCAGTAGGGCTTTCTGCGTTACGGTGAGCTACAGGTTGAGCACTGGTGGTTGTGAGGGATAGAATATCGGCGATATTAGACAGCTCATCACAACATCTACTACCTTATCCGAACGAGTCCCCTTGTGATGTATATTCCAAGCGATGCACTTTTACTTACTCCACAAGCGTCTAACAAAAGTTTTCAGGTAGTCGAGGCACTCTC